TTATCATGCTCACAATGGACAGTGTAGTAATTGACGGATTGAAGCTTATTGACACACAAGGCTTTTGTAGGTTCCAATAAATGCACGGCTAGAAGGATTAGTATTATTAACCCCTTGACTTGTAATACTACAAAAAAATATTTTATTCTATGAGTTTACTTTATTCTAGGACTATAAAGATTTAGTATAACTTAGCGAATACTAAATTACAGTATTTGTGCATTACGATTTACAAGAGCAATGCTCAACGCTTATTAAATAATAATCATCCCAAGCAAGATTTGACACTTTTCAGCATTCTTTCACAATGAATCAAGTCATATCAAATGACTGTTACATTATATACACCAACCTATGTATAAAATACGTTCCACACCTTCTATTATATATACTACACTTTCACTCTAAACATTTAAAACTTTATAAACAATATACACAACACCCTTTAATAGAACAGTCACAAAACAAAATAACAACCCCGATCAAAATGGCCGCTTAATGCTAGAGAATTCTCAACCTGTCACTTGGTATCGGCGCACTAGCGCCAAATTCTCACCTAGATGTGGATACCACGAAACACGGTTTTTGAACGAGGATTTTGCACTGAGTGAAAAGGCCTGGTGTGAAACCATCACTGGATAATGATACTCCTCATATCGCCATCTATTCATTCGATTAATGACCATTACTTTCGGTTGAAGCTGACTTAGTGTTCAGACTTCTATACATAGATAAATAAGCATAAGCTTCTATATTAACCTTACAAAAATTATTTTATTTATTTAAACTGAAAATAATAATTTGTGCGATTGTTGTTTGTCATGGGGCCGCACAAAAATCGCTATCGGGCCGCAGGTTGGACATGGCCGGTCTATATAAACACGGGGTATTCTAATATTATTAGGTGCGGCCCGATGGCGATTTTTGTGCGGCGCCATGACAAACAACAATCGCACTAATATTATTTTCAATTTAAATAAATAAAATAATTTTGTAAAGGCTAATATAGAAGTCTGAACACTAAGTCAGCTTCAACCGAAAGTAATGGTTATTAATGGAATGAATAGATGTCGATATGATACTCTATGGATAGCGCTTGGCAGATAACGACAAATAATTGTCAACGCAACGGACAACGGGAGACTAGCGGCTCTATAGACGAGTGAGCAACACTAGTTCACGAGTCACTCACCAGTCTATAAGTCCATGTGTTTGTAAACGTGGGGTGTTATATCCGAAAAAATGTTCATATTACGATTATTTTGAAAAAAAAAAGAATTTTCAAACAGTTTTAAAATACAAAAAAAACATTTTTTTCAAAAAAGTCATTTTTTTTCAATAATTTCAAGATTCTCAAAAATCTAATTTTTTCAAAGTTTTCAAAAATATTAAAGCTTTTATAAGTTTGAAATTACGGTACGAGAAGTTCCATCAAATTGCCTTAAGGCGCGATGCCATGCACCACTAGTTTCCAGATTTGTTGGCTCAAAGAGTAATTTAGGTTGGACATCGCTGGTCTAGGATCCATGAGTCGCACACATAGCGAATAGGGTTTTTGCTATCTCTCTGGAGATATTATATAAATGACTTTGACGTAAATTGAGGCTATTTTACGCGCATTTGATAGACAATTAATTGGAGAGTTCTTACTTATATCTAGATTATCAGGTTTGTAAAATACTGAACATTATTTTATGATTGTAGATATTTAAAATATATGGTTTTAATTAGATTTGTACATTATCACGTTAATTTTTTGTAATTTAGCAAATAAAACAAATAATGTCATCTATTTATAATGTATCAATTCGTCAACAAGTTGTAACTACACCAAGAAGTGTTTTTTATAGGTTTATCGAGCTCTAGAATACGTCTAAGAATACCATATTGTATACTCATTTATTAAATGGAACATATTTTTAAAGTGAATCAAAATAAAATTCGTATTTGACACTTTGGCATTTGTAAACAAAAAATGAGCAAATCAACCAATAGTCACCAATATAGTAGTTATCTGTCTAGAAGTGACTCAAATGATAAACACAATTGTGATCATAAAAATTACAATAAAAGAAGAGAAAATCAAGATCATGTTAAATCAAAGCATCGTTCAAGATCTCGTAGTCGTTCATATGATAGAATTGATTCACATGATAGATTTTCTAGTAAAAGAAATTACAACAGAGATTTCAAACTTTCTCATAGTAATGAAAAAAGTTCACAACTTAGAAATCATTCCCGTTCAAAAAACATCTGTCATGAGCCTTTTCCCAGCACATCAAGCAACCTTGTGGACACAGAGATTAGTAAGCAATATAGCACAAAGCTTGAAATTAGGCCTGAATACAAAGAAGAACGGAAACAAGAAGTAGTGATTGAGTCAGTGTTCAAAAATGATGGAAGTTTTTTGGAAATGTTCAAACAAATGCATGGACAAAGTACAACAAATGCAAAACAGGCACAAAACAATTTACCTGTTCCAATAGTAGGAAGAAGGCGTGGCGGAAAGGTTTTAAAAACTGGTGTAGTTGAAAAAGCAAAAGTGGATGAAGTAAATGAAGATAACAAATCAACTGATCCTTGGGCTATTTATATAAATGAAGTAAAGAAGTATCGTCAAACATCATGTCAAGATGAAGCAAAAACTCGTTCTCTTGTAAAATAACTCTGAATATTACTTTTGTAACTGTTTAATTGATTGATTCAAAATTGTATGCAAATCAAACTATAATATTTAGTATTGACATGTCAATTTTCTTAATGAAAATACAGCTACAATCATTCAAGTTTTATGTGATGTGTATAGTATATGTTAGCATATATATATATATATATATATATATATTATATATCTGCCTGCCTGCCTGCAAGTGTATTTATGTATGCAATTATTTTATTCGACATTTTACGAGATATGGGATGTTCCCTTCGTGTACTATTCATAATAAAAAAATTCATATATGTGTATAACATTTTATAATTTTAAAAATTAATGAATTTATTTCTTATCTTATTAACTAAACATTTTCCAAATAGTTATTAGGTTAATTGAATAATGAATAATAAATTATTAATTTTTTTTGTTATGTAGTTTATAAAAAACGACACATATCATAACTATGAAATGTAGAATTAAATGATTAAAAATTAAATATATTTTTGCAGAAGATAGGCAGTTCTTAATTCAAAAAACATATATATATATATATATATATATATATATATATATGTGTGTGTATGCGTGTGTGTGTGATTTAGTAGTTAATTTTGATGTTGAGATATATGGATAAGTTGTTTAAGGCCCATACATGAAACAAAGAAAAGAAAAAACAAAGATTCAATCTTCAATAAAAATTATGAAAACTATGTAACTAGGAATAATAATTTTGTGAAAAGCTATTGAGCCACAGACATAAGCCTCGGACCTTGCACAGTACACAAGTCGTGGCAGAAATGACTTAACTTTACTCACATTTTTGTTCAAATTAAACTATCATTTTTCTTTTTGCACCATACAAAAAATGATAAAAAAATTCATTGTGTTGACAAGTTAGATGTATAAATGTTAGTGCTAATTTCTAGTGTTGTGTACACATCTCTAGATGTAACCTACCAACGTTAATATCCACTGATGATGACATTAAATTGAATGTCGAAACGTTCGGAATTAAAGATTAATTTATAAATCTTTGCTTTTTATTCTTTGATGTATATATATATATATGTTAACTCTACCATATTTATTATAAACACAATCTATTGATCACTTTATTTACTCAACTACACTACGTTCTCTATTAAACGTATCATATATATTGAAGAGACGTTAGTAATCAATTTACTAATTAATAATTAAATGTAACCAATTTTTAATAATTCTTGAGTAGATTAGGGTTTTATTTTGAATACTTTTGAATACGAGAATTGGAACATTTGTAGCTCTTCGGGAAGTGTGTGAAATCAAAGAATTTATTTAGATACAAAAATTTATTTATCGTTTTATTATAATATTTCAGTTGTTGCTTGTTCAAGAGTTCAGGACTAACTAACTTATATTTTTACATTTTTAAAATATTTCCAATATTTCTAGTTTTATGATAGCTCGCCGAAGGTACATGAGCTATCATAAACTTTTATTAAGGGTTGTCTGGCAGATGTACAAAATATTCGCAACATTTACAGTTACTTGGGAGTATACATCGTTCAAAGGAATTTACTTATGACTATTATTTATAATTATAAAGAACACAATTCTCAACACCTCCATCGTGAAAATTAAGCCGTCCTCGGCTTATTACATAACATTAGCGAATTTCAGGTTGTAATTAACTGGTACATTAATAACTAAAATCTTTATCTTAATAACTATGAGTTGATACATAATGGATATAACAACTAAAGACATCAATTTTTATTTATATTTTAGTAAATCAAACACTTAGCTAAACCTTAACATTAATATTATAAATTGGACTATTTTTTTTTAAATTCTAGATTTACATTTACATTACATATTTTAGATTTAATTTATTTGTGAAAGAAATATTATTTTTATTATTATTATTTAATCAATAAAATTTAATTGATAATTTGATTTATGTGATAATTAACATTATTCTATGAGATTTATCAAATTAATTAAATGGAATTCAATAATAAGATTTTTTTTTTTTTAGAAAATTTGATAAAGATTATGTTACTTTTCTCGTTTGGTATAAACTTTTTCAATTTGTTGTTGTGCACTTGTACATGTTTATTATGGATCAAAATGGTACTATTTATACTATCGGTTTTTAATATTTTAAAGGGACCTTTCCATAGGGGCAAAAGTTTTTTGCATCGCCGCGGATACGGAGTTTCATCTCTCAAAAGCACATACTCATCGATCTCAAAGGTTTCAGGATTCAAATTTTGATCATAGTTACTTTTAGTTTTTTCTTTATTACTCAGTAAATTCTGTCGAGCGAAACTATTCGCGTGCGATAACCGCGATTTTAACTCATTAACGTAAGTGTCGTAGTTATATTGAAATATAGGTTTTGCTATAGACAGTGGTAATTCTATTTTCCTACCAAAAACTAACTCGAAAGGTGTGTAATTTGTCGCGTTATGTATAGTTGTATTATGGATAAAAACTGCGTATTTTATGCATTTGTCCCAATCTGTTTGGGTTTTGTTAATATAAGATCTCAAGTTTTGAACATAATCCCTATGGATCCTTTCACAAGAGCCATTCGACTCAGGTCTGTACGGGGAAGTTGTTATCTTTTTAATTTTTAGTAATTTGCAAACGTCCTTGAATAAATTGCTAGTAAACGTGGTGCCTTGACCAGATAGAATTTCCTTAGGAAAGCCAAATTTTAAAATAATTTCTGAAACGAATGCATTTGCGACTGTCGAACTTTCTTGATTACAAATGGGGATGGCGCCTGCATATTTCGTTAAGTCGCATATAAATGTCAACAAATATTTATTTCCGGAGTCAGAAACGGGGTAAGGGCCGCAAATATCAATACAAATTTTTTCGAAAGGCTCGCGGGCTGTTGTTGTTATAACTAAAGGTTGCCTTGTTTTCTTACATACTTTATTTTTTTGACAATCAGGACATTTGCTTACATATGATTTAATTTGTTTTCGCATCTTTGGCCATTTGTATATACTACGTATTCTGCTGAACGTTTTTTTATGGCCCAGATGACCTCCCGTATATTGTGATCTATGAAATTGGTTTAAAATCTTACTTATCTCATCCGGTGTTAGGTTTTCAATAATTTTGTCATAATAAATTTTTAATTTGATGTCGGTGTCTCTGAAAATGTATCGTAATAAAATTCTAAAATTTTCTATTGGTATGTGGCAAAAACTTTGAAATTGTGCGGGAGCTGGAATAGCAATGGATTTAATATTTTCTTGAATTCCTTTTGATTATGATAGAGGGTTTTGTTCACCTTGATCGTCGCTCCAGGGTTGTAGATTTAAGTCCTGATTTGGTCCCACGTTTTAAACTTCAAAATCTTCTTCTGAACTTGTTATTATTCTTTTTATTAAATCTTCCAGTTATTATTTTTATTAGAATTATTTTGATGATTTTATATAGATTTTCATCGATTTTAATTGATGCACTTTATTTTTGTATCACTTGATAATTTTAAGAGTTTGCTTATTTTTCACACACTTTTTGTTTTAATTTTTTTAATTTATTTTATTAATTTGCACTCTTATCTCGGAGTTGGATCCCACCGCTGCCACCAAATGAAGAGACGTTAGTAATCAATTTACTAATTAATAATTAAATGTAACCAATTTTTAATAATTCTTGAGTAGATTAGGGTTTTATTTTGAATACTTTTGAATACGAGAATTGGAACATTTGTAGCTCTTCGGGAAGTGTGTGAAATCAAAGAATTTATTTAGATACAAAAATTTATTTATCGTTTTATTATAATATTTCAGTTGTTGCTTGTTCAAGAGTTCAGGACTAACTAACTTATATTTTTACATTTTTAAAATATTTCCAATATTTCTAGTTTTATGATAGCTCGCCGAAGGTACATGAGCTATCATAAACTTTTATTAAGGGTTGTCTGGCAGATGTACAAAATATTCGCAACATTTACCGTTACTTGGGAGTATACATCGTTCAAAGGAATTTACTTATGACTATTATTTATAATTATAAAGAACACAATTCTCAACAATATACTTGTTTTACATATTACCTAACGCCTACTATATTCACGCTGTCATTTATTCATAGTTAATATTTGGCTATTCTGATCAATTCTCGTCCTCGAGAATGTAGTTTTCGAATTTCTTGGGACGTGTGATTGTCCGTTTCAGTGGTTGTATATTGACTGTCTTCTCTTCTTCGTCACTGTTATTAGATTTGTAATCATTGCTGTCGTCTGAGTAACTTGTATCTCGTATTTTTTAGTGTATCGATTGGTAATATGCCACTGTAGAAACGTTCATTACGCTGCATATCTGGCAAATCCTCTATTCGATACCTATCGTGTGGCAACTTTGCTGTGACCACGTAAGGCCCTCTATACTTAGGGCTCAATTTCTTAGACTCGCCTGTGCTCGGTGGTTCAGAACGCATCATGACCAAATCTCCTTCTTGGTATGAGTCGCCTGTGCTTCTTTTCTTATTATACCTTTCTCTTTGTTTACATTGATCTTCTCGTATGTTTTCAATTCCCTCTTTCCTGACTTGTTCAATATCTACTTCTTCTAATTCAATCATGTCAATATCTCTCACTGAGTCGCCTGACTTTGGTTCGTAATTGAATAACAATCGAAACGGAGTTGTCTTAATTGCATTATGGTATGTGGTATTAAAGCTCCATTGGACCTGTTTAAGACTTTTGTCCCAGTCTTTAAAGTGCTCATCTTTTGAGAACGATGCCAAAGCCATTGTTACAAATCTATTTACTCTCTCCACTTGTCCATTTGCCCTTGGTGTTGAAGTAGCATTTCTCACATGTGTAAAATTATTTTGCTTGCAAAAATCTTCAAACGGTTTTCCTGTGAAAGACGTGCCTCTGTCCGTAATTACTCTCACTGGGCACCCAAAGAACGAAATGACTTCTTCTGAAATCTTCTTACTTCCATGACTTTTTGTATCTCGAACAGCTCTAAGTATTGTGTATTTAGTAAACCCAT